TTTTTTTTGTAAGATTTCACTAAAACAAACCAAAAAGTCAACGAATTAAGGTGAAAATTAGGACGTRGAATTAGCACTTGGAAAGATTTAAATCGTAATTTTGTAATCTGGTGAAARTGGGTGTAATTTGGCAACTTTTGAAACTTGGATCTGGTAAATTTTACTTTCTTAAACCTGGCAACACTGGCGAAAACTGTTGTAATTTAGTTGTTTCCTCGGTGATGCTGATTGCTAAGATTTTGGAATAATTTATTCTCCTCATTTCATATATCGCGAAAATTACAAGATTTGTTACGCAAAATTGCTGTTTAAACCGCTAGTGTTGTAACTATTTGAACGAATTTCCGAAACACGAAATAATGTGCCCACGTCTGCTTGCATACTAATGACTACGGCAACAGCTGCGACTAGGTGAATTCTCTGTTTTGTTATTAATCATATTTTTAATGGCTCTGTGTTGGAAAATAATAAATAATGGCATGAAACGCGAATTAAACGAATCGTTTGTTAAAGAGGCTTTCGTCTTTAAATGCACAACAATTTAATTTTCATAGTAGATCAGAAATTGCAAATAGGACACAAATGTCAAGTTTAATTCATTAATTTCGGAATTCAAATCTCTATTAAATGTGGTGTCACTTTTAATTAAAATAAGGTCGACTGGACACACTGTTGTATCCATTATGCCAACGTCGAAAGAGTTATTTTGTGTCAGTGAACTAAATATATCGTGATTTCGAATTAAAAAAAAAACTTAAAAATGTAACAAGTTGTTAGTTGTTAACCAGGGCAGCTGTGGGGTCAAATTGCAATAGTATTAAAGATAAGGACTGATAAGGAGCCAATTTAGTTGATTTCTTAAGCAGATTTTTTGAAAATATTATGTTTTCTGTGTAAGCGGAAAATTAGCTTGCAAACTAGATAACCTAGTGCTCGATTGCTATTCAACAAATCACTTTTTTATCACCGAAAAAATTCTTATCTGAAACGATAAAAATGATTATTTGTCTAAAACACAGCTGGGCAAGCTAATGATAAAAAGTAGCTCAGCTATATGGCTACTAGTAGCTTTTTATATCAGACAATTATTTAAAGTACTTTAAAAACTAATAGTATATTATGTTAATAGGAGTAAAAGTGGTGCCCCCACTAAAAATACACAAAAGTCAGTCTTAGTTTTAGTTTTGTTTAGCATTTCTGAGTTAATAATTAGCTGAATCGCTCGGAATTGACTGAAATAGTGCTCAAAACAACGATTTTCCGATCTATTTTGTTCAAATTTTGGCTTAAAAATTGTAAAAATCGCTCAAAATTGTCTCAAGTAGCACAATTCTGAACTAGAACGACAAATTTCTGTCATATTTAGGCAAAATTGGCTAATATTACATGGTTGAGACCCAAAACGATGATTTTTCGCCTCTTTTCGGAGAAATTTCTTAAAATAAGTCGTTTTAAATAAAACTTTTTGAGTCGATTTTTTTAGTTTATAAAGTAAATAAAACTTTAACATTAAAAAAAAAATTCAAGCAGAAACACAATTATTTTGAAATTTTGTTAACAAGCCAAATATTTAACACGGTGGGCTAAAAATGGTGTTACTTTTGCAAAAATTTGGAAAAAATAAGGCGAGAAACCATAAAATTTAGTCGAAAATTTTTTTAAACTCGGTTTTTACCAAAATTTCAGTTTTTTTTCAAGATTTCACTAAAACAAACCAAATAATCAACGAATTAAGCTAAAAATTAGCGCATTTTTCAACTAGAAACACAAATGTTTCGCACAATTTCATTAAAAAATTCTACAAAATATGTTAAAAATTGTGTTATTCTCGCGGTTTATGAGTGTTGAAGCACGTTTTTGAAATAAAAAAATTACAAAATAATCGAGATTGATATTATTTTTTAACTTGTTTTGCTCGGCTTACTTTATTTTTGAACCAGGGGCTAATTTATTTTGCAAAATCTTGTTCAAACAGGTCTAAAAGTGTTAAAAGGAATTGATAATGATGTTATCTTGTTTGGTTTCCTCAATGTAACTGGTTTTTGAGCAAAATTGACAGAAAAATAAGCCTAGAGACCAAAACATTTTGTCGGCAATTCTTTTAAACACGTTTTTTTTTTTTACCAAAATCTCAGTTTTGTTTACAAAATTTACCTAGAACAAAGAAAAAAGTCAACAAATTAGCACGTTTTTGAGCCAGAAATGCCATTTTTTGAAATTTTTTTAGAAACAAGCCAAAAAA